TACTACTACTACTACTACTACTACTACTACTACTACTACTACTACTACTACTACTACTACTACTACTACTACTACTACTACTACTACCACCACTACTAACGTGCCGCTCTTCCAGCGCTTCCGTGCGCTCTGCGACACCTAACCGCCACTGATAGCGATCCTACCAGAGCATATTCGGCAAATTGCATCCCCTCATTCTCCTACCTTATTCCAATTATTCCATGAATCCACGATTTGGCATAGGGCCTCTTCTGCGTTTTCTGCCACGGGAGACCTAATCCAGAGCCTTCCTAGACGACCTATTATCTGGCATCCTTTGCACATGACCATATCAAACAAGCTGCTTTGCGAAAATGGCATGCGCTATGCTGTTTTCGACGCCCATAATTGCACGTATCCTTTCATTCCGAAAGTGATCCTTCCTTCAGAAGTTCATGTCGGTTGCCCTAATAATGTCCTGAAACCGTTTCTTCAACTGTCATACCTCGCTGCCGTAGGTTAATATGCTTTTGATGATGGAGTTGTGAATTCTATTTTTGTTAGCTTTAGATACAGTCTGGCTCCAAAGAATGTTCTCTTTCATGCTGAAATAATTCTAATGCGTATAACAAGTAACAAAAATGACCATACTGCCTAACAAACTTGTTACTTAATCAAATAAAAATTAAAAATTCTCCATCTCAAATTCTATCCTAGAGAAAGCGATAGATAAAGAAGACCTAGGGAGTATGGAGCGATCCTATTGGTTGAATGGGGGGGGGGTGTCCCTATAGGCGAAAGGGAGAAAATGAAAGACTAACTTTTAGGGTCTCTCTTGGGTTGACGTTAGTTAGTGTATTACCTACCTCCTTTGTTCATCGCAACTATCAATACGCTCCCTCCACATCTTTTTTGTCTTTTATGTCTATAGCTTTGTCTATCGATTTCAATAATCGGGCCGCTGACTGACGTTCTGATTAGGATAAAATGTATCAGTTATCACAAGTGAAACTTTGTTTCACTGTTGTTCAATTCATGGAACTGCGGTTTTATCAGTGAAAGCCCTTTCGCCTCTTTCTTCATGCAGCTTGGATACTATAAAAGGGGATTTTTTTATGCCGTTTTCAAAAGCATTAAATAATCCCCTCAAATAACATATATTGTGATTGCTGTCTGGTCTTTTTTTTTACCGCAACAGTGCGTATCCAACCGGGAAAACGGCGAAATCCGAGTAAAAGAAAAATAGGCCCTCTGTGACGTGGTTATCGGTTAAAAATAATATCTGCGCTTTATTTCAGGCGGGAGGTGTTGTATTAGGCGGCTACAGATTTTGACAAGCTGTCTTCGCACCTTCACTCCCTTCCCGACATCGACATCCTACCGCGCCGTAACCACACGATTCATAACTTGCAGTTTTGTTTGTTTTTAGTTTTGGCGAACAAATTTCATTCATTTGTTGCGTTTCTATATCCACGTCAAAGAAATACTGCTTCCAGAATGCATGCGGGAATTAATAATTATTTCAGCGAAATTTTAGGAGAACGAACTCCTATTGAGTCGAGTCCAAAATATACCATTACCTCCCGCGGCTCCTCAACTTAGAGAACTTTATGAGCTTTGGTGTTGATGTTGGCTTTAGGTACGACTAGAACCGTCATCACGTTTCTCGTGTTATTTCATTCATATTCAGTTTATTGAAGCTCTGCTTTTTACCGAAAACTCATAATTGCGGACAATAGTACTATTCCTGCTCTTTATGCGCAATATGAAAGGAAAGTGGGTAGAGGAGCGCATGTTATGTGTTATTGATAGATTTAAACTGAAAAGTATTGCCTTACACGATTGTTGATTTTGTCAATATTATTGCAGTGGTATTATTGCATAGTGTTATCTAGTGGTGCATATGTACGTTTCGGACCATGGGCTGTTTAGGGCTGTTATTAACTGTTCCTTTATTTCGTTTTTATTGTTTTTAATATCCAAATGCGTTGTGTTCCTATGTTAATTTAGTGAACTTTTTGTGTCGTCAATTTCGTTCAATTTTTTTTTTTTTTTTCCACAGAGGTATTATTTTTAGCCAAAAATAATAATTCCAAGCGTCCATCTTGGTTTCTAACCTCATCTCCGATACATTCTTAAAAAAAAGTATAATTTATTTTACTATAAGCATTGGTTTCGACGAAACAAAGAAATATCCTAAATTGAGTGTCCTGGAGGGCAAGGCGCAAAAGTGCAGTTTTTGAAAAACTTGAAATTATCATGAGCTCAATTAAACTGGTTTGAAAGTATATTCTGTGAAAAATTCACAACTTTAAAGCAACGAATAGCGAGTTTAAACTTCCTTCCCGCCATAAAGCTCGATGTAATTTAGATTTGGACCAAGTTCATCAGAAAGGAACCAACCCACATTAAGTTGAAACTGAGAAAAAGAGCTTTGAAGTTTTACTCCTCTATAAGGCTCAATGTAGAAAATACACTCTAACCCTCTTTTCTCAAACTAATTTCTGTTTTTCGACTTTCAGTCTTTGGCAGGAGAAAGTATACGACAAGTAGCATTAGAAAACACTCTTAACTTGAGTTTTTCGAAAATGTGGGTTAGTTCATTTCTGATTAATTCGGCCCATTAAGAAACTTTAAACACGCATTTCTTAAAATAGCAAAAACTGCTCTTATACGTCTTGGCCTCCAAGCCCTTCATCCCATAAAAACTAGAGTATCCGTATAGCAAGAGTATGGACAGATCACTTCATGGAGGGCTTAGGGCCCAAAAGTGCAGCCACCCTTCTAACCAACTTCTAACGCACACAATTTCAATTTTCACTGCCAGTCTGTAGATTCAAATTCTAACGAAGGTGGCTAAGAAGTACCCAAATGAGCGTTCTTCCACAAAAATGAGTAAATTTATGCCAAACTAAGTCAAATACGTGCTTTATAAACGATGGTTAGTAACAATTGTTCTAATAAATCGCTCTGGATAATTGAAATTCATAGGTTGGCTACATTTCTGGGCCCTAACTTTATTCGCGGAGGCATCGGTGAAGGCCTGATGGATTTACGGAGTTTCACATCCGTCTATATACTCTCGCTATGCAGGTACTCTATTAAAAACTGTCCTTTAGTTGACACCCTGTCTAGCGGTCTATTACCTTGACTTTGGTACCGCCCGGAGTCGTGGAAGCTCTGGAGGGACTTGGCGTCTAGTCTGCTATTAATACTGAGGCTTGAAACGCTCACTGCTGAGCTCTCATGCCCATGCGGTGTCCGTGAAAACGCGGACGGCGGCCGGGACCCCGCGTGGCGCGATGAGCTGGGCTGCTCGACCCGGCCGTGGAGACGTCTGCGTCCAGACTCATCTGCGCGCGCCCCTGCGCCCCTTCGAATTGGGCCCCGCGCAACACATCGCCGCCAAATCTCCGAGCTTTTCCGCCCTCTCGTCTCCACGCCAACGTTTCCTCGAGCGGAAATGGAGCTTTTGCGAGGTCCTGGAATTCGCCGTCTAACTTGCGAATATGAGCAATGGACACAAAGTACCTCAGTGGCGAGGCGTGAATGATCGAGTATCGATATTTCTCCATTTGAAGTTATGGTAAAGAATCGAGTATTGAGGTGTTCGCTGCGAACACCCTGTTTATCGATCCTTTCCCATAGGTTTAAATGGCAAATCAATCGATATATCGCAAAGCACGCCACGCCACTGGTACTTACGTAGTCGTCTCCAGCAGCCGGATTGTCGAAACTTTAACTGGCTAAGTCGGCACGATAAGAGAAGACATAGCCCTATCTGCGCCGTGTAATATATCGATTTTCGATTCTTGTCGTGCCGACATAAATTTCAACAATCGGGCTGCAGGACGGAGGAACGCAACTCCATCCCAAGCTTGCCAAATTGACTCAAACAATAAATTCATTTCACAAAAATGTACTTGGCTAATTTTTATCCAAAATTTGCCTGATTTTTACAAGAAATCTGAAGGAAATCAGACGAGTTTTCAGCTAGAAATGCCCAATTTCTCTTGGTCAATATGCAATGTGCGAGGGGAGATTTGACAACACTGAAATGGAGTTACGTTTTTCGTGAGGGAAACAACGACCTGTGTGACCTGTGTGTGTGTTAATTTTTTTTAAAGTATACCTTACACATCAATACATAGCGTATCGAAAAAATGACCCGGCGTGACACAGGAGTCTCGGAATTCGGGACCTGCAAAGTGCTTGAGAGAGGCGCTAACTCTCCCATTTACATTACAACTCTATGTGCTCTACGCCGTAACACATGATATAACTTAAATTAAGTGACTTCGCATTGACTCTCTGTTCATTGTCTAACATTGGAAATCGTATCTCCGCCAGCAAAGCGGATTTTTCGCCTTCATTCCGACGACTAGGCAAAATCAAGCGCAAGACTCGACCATCGTCGCGTACCCACCACCGTGATGGCTCCGAGTTTGACGGTCCTAGGTCATAGGTTGGCTGCTGTTTTAGGCTCTAAACGCTTCATGGCCTAACCTCAAAATTACCGACAGGGGCAGAATTTTTTTAGTCCTTCCACCGTACTTTAATATACTTAGGGCGGGTCTCGACTGCACTTAAGTCCGGCTTAGCGCTTCTGATTGGCCGGTGGTGCGGTTTGAACTCATCGATAGCTGTTGCACTCAGTTTGAAAAAGCCGACAAAATTCGGCCCCCGGTCTGTACTCTCCTTACATATAGGTACTCGCGTTTGAACGTGAGGGAGCAAAAATCTTTTCAAATTGAAATATGATATAACTTTTAATATCCGTTTATTATCTAACGTTGGTGCCTCCGGCTGCGTAGCGCGTTTTTCGCCTTCATTCCGACGACTAGGCAAAAACAAGCGCAAGACACCATTGTCACGCACCCGCCACCCCGTACGCTCCAGGGGCCGGGGATTGAGTGGGTATCCGAGCCCGCGAACGTGACGCGACGGTGGCGCTGTCCCTGCGAGCGGACGGGAGCGGAAACAGGGCACATTCCGACAACGTGCGTAGTCGGCGGCGGCGCGGCGCGGCGGAGATATTGACGTTAGCGAGCGGCTTCCCGTCCGACGTCGTCCGCGTTTCAGTCGCCGTCAGGCAGTATGTTGAGCGTGACCGGCTCAGGCCGACGATGAAACATAAATTCCGTGATCTCTTCTCTTGTTCGAATAGCTCCTCGGAACTCTCAAACAACAACAACACCACCGCCAGCAACAATAACCTACCGGCAGGTCTGTACCACTTCTTTTTTGCCCCGCGCGTGTCTCCGTGTCGCCGTGTCCGTCAGTGTCGGCTATTTTTAGAGCCGACAGGTGTAAAATTAAAAGCGCCATTCTTCGCCGTTCGTTGTGGATGCCGGGTCTTCCGTCCCGTTTTATTTTCGTCAAGTCCGTTCGAGGCGAGGGCCGCCCAGCTCGGCGGGTATTGTTGCCGTGACGGGCCGGGCGCTACTATTGCATCATTGTCCAGCCGCAGCCGTAACCTTCTTCGGATTTGTCGCTCCCTGCACGAAGGAACGTAACTCCATTCCAAGGTTGCAAAATCGACTCGGATAATTTAATTTTTTACAAGAAAATACGTGTGCAATCTTCGTCCAAAATTTTTCTGACTTTTGCATGAGATCGGAAGAGATCTCCATGAGATTTTCAGTTGGAGATGCCCAAGATTTTCTTGGTAAAAATGCAATTATTCGGGGGAAATTTGGCATCTTTGTAATGTAGTTACGTTCTTTCTTGAGAGAAACCACGAATGATTGTCCGGGGGTCTGCGCCGTTCCATGTATCCATGTCCCCGACCGAAATGGAAACAATAACCTCAAAGAAAATTCAATGCGGCGAGTTCAGTGCACGGGGGTATCAAGAAGAATTCGTAATCAAAAATTCAAATTCCGATTCTTGGAACAACCTTGGCTAAAAATCCATTCTTTCGAGGTGTTCCGCTGAAAACAAGATCCTCTTTAGAATGTTAAAAAGCCGTCGATGAAAGTACCAAACCACGTATCTCGGTTTGTGATGTTATAGTACCTACCTATTCTTGTTACTTTTCACTTTTTTGAAGGGGTGATTTGGATCGTGCTCAGCAAAATGGAGCTGCGTGACGCCAAAATAGAACTGAGCAAAATGGGATTAAAGTTTCACCACTCTAGAGGCATCAGTATATGAAAAATAACTTTCAAACCATTTTTTGCAAACCAAATAAGGTTTGGGACATTAGATTTTCGGCAGGAGAAAATATGCTCTTAAAACAGCTCATCGCCGTTATGAGTTTGATAATCGATCTGTTTTTCAAAAAACCCTCGGAAAAGTTTGTCTTCTTCGTATCATTGTTCTCGTAAAATTTTTCCGGTAATTTTTCTCTGCACTCTCGAGAATATTCTCCAACAACTTGTGGGAATATTCTTTTAACAACCAAAAATGGTATCCTTTCTGATATCCACAGTCTTTGTGTTCAAAAATAGTGATTCCTCTCTGTTAAACTCGATGCAAATGGTTACAATTTAATAAAAAAAGATCAGTAAAAATACTTTCCAACCGAGAAACTGCTAAATTTTTCAATAAGTATTACAATCAGGACTAATGAAGGTACATACTGTAAAACAACAAAAAAACCCCGCTAAAACCTACTTTCTTCAAAGTTATAACGATAGTTAGCTCTGCAAAGTCTACGGTGTGGAAAAATTGAATAATTGTGACAAAAAAAAATTGAACATTTGAACGGAACTCGAACGTGTTCAACATGTTGAAACGTGTTCTTTTCGGTGATGAATTTACTAAGACTCGTGTGTCGATTAAGGTGTTTTCTGCAAATTTACTGCTGCTAAAAACCATTGGCCCATTCTGTCATTTTTTACACCAATATGAGCACCAGTCTAGATTACTAAGCAAATTCAATTGCTTCACATACATCTTTGATGAAGCTTGCTGACGCATAAGTAGCGTCTTCATTGTGAAAAGATACTACCAAGCGTTATCGCAGAGGCCACGCTTTTGGTTTACGCACTTTTAGACTGCCACTAGCTACACATGATAGTTCGACGTCACTTTTACAGGTAAAGTAGGTAAATGGAATAAGGATCAAGATCTCCTATTGCAGTCTAAAATTGCGTAAACTTATTTGGCGTCGACTCTAACAGTGATTTTTACAGTCATGAAACTCAAAAACAATTTTTGTTGGAGGATATCACTAGACGTTGCTAAAGGAAACTGTTTACGATAACGATATTTTCACAGCTTTTACGGAATGGGGTTCCAAGTAAAATTTTAAAATAAATTTCTAGTGCAAAGTGGCGTCGACCTCATTTAGAAGCATATTTTTCTCCTACCACAAATCTAACGCCCATTTTATTTCCTAAAAAAAAGATGCAATGTAGAAATGTATACGATGATTCCGATGGATGGATAAAACCTAAAAGTCATTTTGCACTGATTCAAGTCAATGTCACAGGTATCACATAGTTTCCTCTTTAAAAAAGTGAAATTAATAAAAATACTTCAACGTCACAAACCAATATAGGTTTTTTTGGTAAGTTCACTGTCGGTTTTGAACCATCTACAAAGGAATTTTATTTCTGGGGACATACTTTAAAAAAACAACTTTTGTCAAGATGGGTATTCGCTTTGGTTGGATATTTTTTGGCTTTGCTTGTGCGAGTATCATGAGTTTCTCAGAAGTCAGGTTTCTTTTTCGATGAACGGTCAAATCATTAAATAGCATATTTTTTTTAGCCTGGTCGTAAAATTTTTCAAGAATTCTCCTTTTCAATACAAGCTTAAAAGCACAAAATCGAAAGCTTAAGTCTAGTCTGATAAAATATATAGTCTCAGCTAGTTTCAGCAAGAAATTGGATAAGATTTTGATTTTAGGTATTGAAAAAATTACGCTCATTCAAGAGAGCAACTTATCCTACTTTTATGACATCATATCGACCCATAGCATCCCAAAGAAACACTTTTTCAAGTGGGAGATAAAACGAGATAACCCAGCATCAAATTCAAAAAAACACTTAAGGAAGACGGTTAATTCAACCAAGTGCAGGAATTCATGGATTAAAAGGATAAAGTCAAGCAGGCTCACAAACAAAAGATTAACGATTCGGTGACATTTTGAAGCAGTCAACGACTCATTTATCAGCCTGTTGACAAGAATAAAAGTAAAGTGCAAAAAGAAAGTGGTACTTGAAATTTTTCCTTCGGTCACTGTGGAGATGCACAAGTGAATTACCTTTCTCTTCCACTTCTAATGTCAATTGAGTACCAACCTAGCCTGGTCATGCCGCAGATTTGCCATTTTTTTTACAAGCACTGCTAATCCAATTTAAGTACTTGATTCCAAGCGAATATGGATACTCGAACAGCCTTGAAGCCTCCTTTGCAGTTGATGTTCGTGGAATTTTCATTTTTACCAGAATTTTGTGGAGGACGTCAGAGTACAAACGATTCAGGGAGAACAGGAAACTTTAAAGGAGTTAGTTCTTTATACCTCTTTTTAAAAATGTATCGTAGTTTTTCTTCTCTTTTTTAACGGAAGCAACGCCGCACCCTGCCTTATAAACTTTTAAACTCATACTTACTTTCTGAGGGCGACACAAAATTAAACAAGAGAGGAAATGAGGCAACGTGAAATGAATTTAGGCTGATTCTGCATAAATTGAGGGACTTGTAGGACAAGACGCATAGGTCCAATTTTTGAAAAAATTGAGATATCAATGATTTCAAGAAAAACTAATCTTAACGCATATGTGAAAAATTTCGCTCCTATAAATTCCAACTTTTAAGCAGTAAAAAGTCAGTTTTAACTTTCTTTCCGCCATTAGGACCCATATAATTTCAAAACTTCAAACAGGTATTTTTCGATATAGCAAAAAAACTGCACTTATCCCCCCAAGCTCCTCGATTCTTCCAAGTGTTTCAATTGATGGATTCCGTCCAGATATCGTTACTGTTTGATCGCAACTCCGGTAATGCTCCGGCGATCGACCTACTGAAAACTCGTACATTGAAAGTTCCTTAGACACGCGGTGACCTAGGTATGGCTCTGTCATGAATGGAAACTGGACGTAACAGTGTCTAGTTCACAACAATTACGGTATGACTCGCGCACTTGGCTCGGAATAGTCTCAGCTAAGTCACGGAATCCCCGCATCCATTATAAATAGACTGATTTAGTGGCCACGTGAGTCGAGACATTGTGATAAAATAATCTAAATATCATTGGCCCGTTGGAATATCGGTTAGTTTTGCCGCGCTTTAAAAGCGCGGTAATTTCGAATTTTTTGGTATTAAGGTTGTGTTTTTGCTTAAAATTGAACTGACGAATATATCAATCTATAGAATGACGTAATCGCTGGATTAGTCTATTCGCTGATACTTTTCTCATCTAAAAGGTTAAAAAAAAAGAAAAAACCTTTAGTCGGAGCTAGGACCCCTCCCCCGATTTCTTGGGGAAATTATAGTTTTTTCCTCAATTTTGGTGACGCAGTTTTGGACTAGAACTTATGAGTAATGGTTACCCTCGATGTTCTTTAGCGCTGAATACGTTCATGGCCTAAAAAATATCGACATCTCAAGTTAAAGGTGCATTTCAGGGGTTTTGGCTCTTTCAGGGTATAACACTTGGGTTATATTTTCCTTTCGGTAATAGATCACATCAATCTAATTATACACTATTAATTAACAGTTATATTCTTGTTCTGTTCCTGTACGTATATTGATCTCAAAATGTTTCAACTTCCTGTTTGGAAAAGGATCCTTAAGAAACTCCAAGGATGATATTTTGGTACTAACCAGTCTCAAAATATTTTGATTTTCCGCCGTTTAACCGTTTTATTTTGCAAGTCATGCGATGTTTCTGGTTCGTTCCTTTTAAAAAAGATGAATCAGTAGCGTAAAATAAGCACAGCATGAAACATTACAATTCATATAAATCGCATTTCATTGATGGCTCTAAGCGCCAAAACTTAAGAGAAGGTGATCTTCAGCACTCAACCGTAAAATTTCATTCTAATTTATTCTTTGTTAGCACTCAGCACACGGCAGATTAAACATTTAACAATGAGCTACGTTTTACAGTAGTGTCGTGTAAATACCCGAGTCCATTGTTATGAGGAGATATTTTATGCGATTTCCTGAAATTATTTTTCCCTCTTTGGTCAGGGTATTTGTATTTTTAGATGCACTATTCCAAAAGATGACACTATGATATTGGTAGGTAAAAGTACATAGCTATTTTTTTC